CTCTTCCTCGCCTTATCTCGACCTATCGTCGAACTACCTCTTTGTAACATCCAGTTTCAGGATGTTTCTAATTTTGGGACTGCGGACCACAATTTGATCGAGTAAAGGTCTTGGGCTTCAACTGAATTAATTTTAAACCTTATTAGATGTTAACAATGTTGGTTTAGTGATTTAAGCCCTTGAATCGTGTTTTGGAGTCAAAAAGGGTAAAATGGAAAAAGTGATATTATGGACTTGTGCATGTATTAATGAGTTAAGTTCGGTATGCTTTAAGTCAAAAGTAATCGGATAATTGTGGAAATTATTAATTACTTCATGTGTATATAATAATCACTAAAAATGGGTTTAAAATGAAGAAGTTATGACTGTTTATAGCTGGATTGAAATCTATGAAATCCATCACCACAACGTGGTGAGAAGGTCATCACGCCATGGTGAGCCGTGCAGTCCAAGCCCATAAAATTAGGGTTTTCACTGTATTTCAAGGCATTGTTCTGTGTTTTATGTCATTTTCAGTTTCCGTCACATCAAAAGCTCTATATGATCAAACTAACTTCCCTTTCACAACTTTATGCCTCACATCTCTCCTCTCATCCATTTTAGTGTGTTTTTATGGTTTTGGAGTGATGCATTCATAAAAGATTGATCCTTGAAGCTTGGCAACTGAATAAATCATCCCTCATTAACCTTTTGGACCCTTGTAAGTATAAAAGATTCAAGCTTTATGGTGTTTCATCATTAGATCTATGAGTATTTGGTGTTTTGGTCTATTTTAATGAGCTTTGGTCCCTTTGAGGCTTGTTTCATAGAGTTTGAAGAACTCTTGAGTTTTGTATTGTTGTTTGGGGTTAGATTTGGTTATTTGATGAAGTAGAGAGTGCATGAAAGAGGTATCTTTACTCCATGCTTGAAGAGAAGTGAGTTGTAGGACATCTTATGGACTTAGGGTATTAGATCTTGCTTATTGAGGTGTCATAATGGATAAAGTTGAAAACTTTATCCATTAAGACCTTTAGAAGAATCGAATCTGAGCTTTTGAGCTCTGGAAGTTAAGGGTTAAGTGCTTAACAGATTAAGTTGTTTTAGATGCACACCACGGTGTAATGAGTGGGTGGTCGCATTACAACGACGAGGTTTTTCTTGTGTCAGTTTTGTCGTTTAGTTACCATGACACATCTATGGGGTTGGCCACGGTGTGGTTGGTTAACCGTTGACTTTGACCATTGACTTTTTGACCGACTTGACTTTTTGTCAAACTTGGGAGGTTTTAAGTTGTAGTCTTAAGGTTTAGCTTGTGATTGGTTTAGGCAGTTCATGTAGATGATTGTTTGGGACTTCAAGTAGTCGGATTAACTCTTGACATATGTGAGTTTTCTCACTATGTTATGTTGGGCACGGGGTTTCATTATAAGTTTGTTATCTTTGTGACTCTTGCTTGTATGTTATATGTTTGTTGGGCAGGACCCATTGATATGCTTTGATGGGCAGGGTGGGGCCCATTATACTAGACGTGGTCTATTACTTAGGGTGGGGCCCACTATACTATATGAGGTCCATTAATTAGGGTGAGGACCATTGTACTAGACGAGGTCCATTACTCAGGGCGGGGCCCACTATATAGGATGAGGTCCATTACTCAGAGTGGGGCCCATTATACTAGACAGGGTCCATTACTCAGGGCGGGGCCCATTACTTGTGATGTATGTGGTATCTTGGGGAACTCATTAAACTTTATGCTTACGATTTTAAGTTTAACTGTTGTAGGTCTTTTTGGTAAGTATGGGGAAAAGCATGACATGATTGCATCGCATTTGCTTTGAAATTTTGATATGTTCCGCACTTATGAACTTATTATTCTGATTTATGTTTTAAATAACTAAATGTTTCTCTTTATGATTTAATGATATGGTTGCCTCGTTTTAAAAAATAAAAATTTTGGTTTGAAATTTAGGACGTTATACTCTTCAAGCTCGAGTTCATCCAATTCGTTCAAATCAACCCTAAAATGTGCATCCGATGAAGTAGTGTAACCCATCTCAGAAACTTTGGTTCTTTTCTCACCGCCTTCTTCGCTACCAAAATATTCTGCCCATTTCGAAGATATGAATAAAAACCTCCAAAATTTATTATTATTATCAACAAGAAAAACTTTAAGGATCATCCGTAAAATTTGTTCATCGCCTTCCCCGTTTTTTTGTTGAATTGGCAAATTCTTTTAATGTCGTTGAATTTTGTGACATATTTGCTCATCTCGTGAAATTAGTAGCAGCTCGGTGACTGTTCTGGTCCTATATGTAGATATCAAACTTATCATGGGAAATCATATTCTGACTTTAGGAGGTGTAAAGTCTTGGCTTGGAAAGTGCTTATCAATGAAGGATCTTGGTGAGGCGTAATACATTCTCGGTATGAAGATCTACAGAGATAGATCAAACCGATTAATATGTTTAAGCCAAAGTACATATCTCGACAAATTCTTGAAACAGTTCAAGATGGAAAACTCCAAGAAAGGATATATACCAATGACACATGACACAGTACTATGTTCATCCCAATGTTTTAGCACAAAGGCCGAGCTAAACAATATGACAGATGTTCCATATGCTCCGACAATTGGATCCATCATTTATGATATGAATTGTACTAGACCTAATCTTGCTTATGCTATGAGCATGACAATAAAGTACTAACAAAATACAGGGGAGAGTAATTGGATAGCTGTAAAAAAACATCCTAAAATAATTGCATAGAACTAAATATATGTTCCTCGTCTATGGAGGTATGGAAGAAAGAGTAAGTGTAAAGTGTTACACTGATGCTTCATTCACAATAAATTGAGATGATTGTAAATCACAATTAGGATATGTGTTCATTATCAATGGGGGTGCAGTGTCTTGGAAAAGCTCCAAGCAAAGTGTTGTAGTGCAATCAACTACATATTCGGAATACATCGGCGCTTTAGAAGCTTCACAAGAAGCTGCTTGGATGAAGAAATTCATTGGAGATCTAGGCATTGTTCCTTCCATTCGGGATCCCTTAGAAATCTTCTATGACAATGAGGGTGCTATTGCTTTGGCTAAAGAACCCAAATTACACAAGAAGACTATGTACATTAACTGGAGATTCAACTACATTCAACATGAAGTTGAAGATGGCGAAATCAGTATTCACAAAGTACACACGTATCAAAATTTACCGTACCCTTTCACAAAGCCTCTTCCTAAAGCCAAGTTTGAAGTTTATGCATGAGGGATCGGACTTTGCTATTTTAGTGATTGGATTTGATCTTTGTTTTAGTATTGCTTATTAGAACTATCTAAGACATCAAGTAATGTGATGACTTTTTAATATATATGGAATATGATCTTTCTCGTTAATTACTTGTTTAAGTTCTATATTAACATGTTTAATATTTGGGTAAATTTATTCACTCTAAAATCCATAGTCGGTTATTATTGTGGGAAAAATGATGAAGTAAGACTAATATGAATAGGAATGGTTAACAAAATGTTGTAACCAGTTTCGTAGGTACTTGCTAGAGAGCAAGTATTGGATTGACCCGTTCAAGATCACTTCATGGATCGTTGTTATGAATGATACTTGATATATATAACATCTTTGTATCCTTAATACCTGAGATGCATATATAAGACTTGAGTATTGGGAGTGTTATTCTTTGATATATTCAAATACTGTACTTTAAACAGACAGTTATAAACGCTATTGTCAGATGTGAACTATGCAAGAGGCGTATGTAGTTAAGATGTGATTTGTTTCTATTGTTCGTTGAGAGTTAGACATCTAAGACCTTATCTAAAGTTGAACACTTATATGAGATTGACTGTGATCCATATCTCATGTTCAACATGATGTTTATAGCAAAGGGACAACTGATAACTTACCTTATACACCAAGTGTAGCTTTGAGCTTCTAGGGACTTGGGTGTTGATAGAATGGCACAAAGTCATATGTTGTTGGGGGCAGTGAAATGTTGCTAGATGTTCACCATTGTCTATATGAATCTAATATGAGTCTTGCGTAAGTGGGAGATTGAAAGATTATCTATGCTCAAGAGTCATATTAGAATGATATTACTAACTAACATATGATCCTAACAACAACTTGATTCAATTGATTACTTATTAGAAATTGATTTTAATAAATATTCATAAACTCTTATAATTAACTGGATATTATTTATTTCATGGAAATAGTAATTTACCAATGGCAAGTAACATAACATAACATAATATATCACATGGTATGATTTATTAAGTCATGTACAACACTTTGGACTAGAAAGACTTTTTTTGTCATTTACCAAAAGCTTAAGTTTTATACATTATAAAGGAGTTTATAAATTCTATAAAACTCGTATTCTTTTTTCTACAAAAACTTTCGATAGAGACAGAGGGAGAGGTCATGACCTTTTGATTTGTTTAATCAAAGCATGACTAGTTCTTAAGGACATGTGAGACAAGTTGCTTGAGGTTCATAAGTGCTTAAATGGATAAGGAATTGTGGATATTGTTTCAACTTTAAGACTAGCATGAAGGCTTTCATTTTGGTCATTCTTCTTGTATGAAAACCATAGCCTTCCATCTCTCACTCTCTCATTGTTATTTCAAAGTGTTAGAAGAAGTACTTGATATCTTTAAGTTAAAGTTTGGTTTTGGCTTAAAGCTTAAAAGTTGTGACTAACATCACTTCAAGTTGTCTTCTTGTTGATGTCTCAAAAGGAAAGGTTCATCTATATTCTCTATCAACTTCTTAGCCTACCCTTGAAGATCCAAAGACAACAAGGGACCTTTATTCTTTTACTCTTCTATAGTTGGTGTTTTCTTTCAATTTCTTGGAAAATGATCATTGGTGGGTGTAACTTATTTATGTTCGTTCAAAATTTATAAATCTTCAGTTGTTTAAATATTAAGTTTTTAAAACTAATTTTAAACTAAATCCCGACATATGAGTATGCTATATAGCACAATACTGGACACCTTATGCCACCTAAGCATAGTAAAGACAATAGTTGGTGATATTTGTATATTTTGAACAATAAAAACTTGAGTTAAAGATCCTGAATAGTTAAAAAAACTATAATCACCTTGCTAACAAATATCTCAAAACAAACCTAGAAAACACATTTTATGGCAACCAAATATTTGCAAAATGGCTCTTCGGTCATGATTAAGTTGGAATCGAGTTGACATTTTGTGTTTGAGCGAATATCTGAAGATTATAATTTTTTTAAAAGTTCAGTAATTTTCGATATATATCACTCTTTTAATAATATTTTATGAAACAAGCGTAAAAAACTAAAAACAATCTTTCAGTGTTCATTTATTTTGTTTTTTTGGGGTATCAAGTGTGTGGTGGTTTCCACGTTCGATAATTGTACCACGTGCTTTCAGAGTTGTACGTTGCGTTGGAAGTTATATTCCATAGTTGTTCAGATCGGGAGTACAAATAACCACATCTCGGCACATCTGTCATTTAGACCGCCGTGCGATTCTCCGGCGGCCAAATCCCGGCGAATCTCCGAGTTAAAGGTACATCACACTATTGCACAGTTGTAATGTTCATTCTTATTAACCTAGATGTTTGATTTTGTGAAGCACGTACAAAACCTTTGGAATTAAAACCAGAAAGGGGATTTTGTTTCTGTAATTAAAATTAGAAACCTCTTAGGTATTTTCTTCAATCCATTAGAAATTGCAAACGACATCGTAGAAATGACACTTCGTCTTTCCAGCAAAACTAATTTCACAACAATTGAAAATTGAGATTCGTAATGATCATATTATAATCTGCCATTTCTCCATAGGTCCAGTTCTAAGAGTGAATGCATCACTTTCAATCAGACGATGTTTTCTTCAAGAATTACTGAATCAGATCTGCCGTTTATGTAACTTTCATGCTGAAAAAACAGTAATTAGTATTCATTATCTTCAATAATGCTTAGGCAACTCTAGCTAACCACTAAGAACTACATCATGATCCTGAATGTTGAACACAACTCTTTCTAAGTTTTAAATTAGTAGTATTCAAGACTTCAAGCCACATTGTTAACTGCATTATTATCACAGGGGAAAATCTATACTAAGAAATGGCTGTTCCTCAAGAGAGGTGGTGTGTTGTCACTGGTGGAAGAGGCTTTGCTGCACGACATTTAGTAGATATGCTGATTCGGTATGAAATATATTCAGTTCGGATTGCTGATTTGGGTCCTGATATCAAACTGGAAACCCATGAGGAGAGGGGAAATCTTTGTCAAGCTTTAAGATTAGGTCGTGCTCAATACGTATCTATGGATCTTCGTGACAAATCTCAAGTATATAAAGGTAACTTAATTAGTTTTGTAAATTGTAATTCAGCTTTATCTATCCTTCCTATAGATATAGACTTTCTATGATCATTTAGATACATGGTCATTGTTTCTAGCATTTGACTTGGTTTGATGTGTGATTTTGCCATTATGCAGCTTGTGAAGGGGCAGAAGTGGTTTTCCATATGGCTGCACCTGATTCCTCCATTAATAACTACCAGCTGCATCATTCAGTCAATGTGCAAGGTAAAAAGAAAGATAATAAACAAAGTTAGTTAATTTCTAAGAGAGTATTAATTTTTGTTGTTGTTTTTACAGGCACTAAGAACATAATTGATGCTTGTACTAAACTTAATGTGAAGAGGCTTATCTATACTAGTTCTCCTAGTGTGGTTTTTGATGGGATACATGGAATACATAATGGAGAAGAATCATTGCCATATCCTTCTAAGCATAATGATTCGTATTCTGAAACTAAAGCTGAGGGAGAGGCACTAGTTATCAAGGCTAATGGGGTGAATGGTCTTTTAACATGTTGCATTCGTCCTAGTAGTATTTTTGGCCCTGGTGATAAGTTACTTGTTCCCTCTTTAGTTGCTGCAGCAAGAGCAGGGAAATCAAAGGTAATCTGAAATTCGATTATAAGTTTAATGAATCTCTATTTAATTGTAATTGATTTTAATTTTTACATTTTGTGGTTGATTTTTGGATTACCAGTTTATTATAGGGGATGGAACAAACATGTATGATTTCACTTATGTTGAGAATGTTGCACATGCTCATGTATGTGCTGAAAGAGCTCTAGCTTCAGATGGATCTGCATCAAAGAGAGCTGCAGGAGAGGTAATTAAAATAAACCTTTTCAATTTTACTTGAGACAATATAATATATGGAGTTTTTATTATTTTTTAAAATTTTCAGGCTTACTTTATAACGAATATGGAACCAATAAAATTTTGGGAGTTCATGTCACTTATTCTTGTAGGGCTTGGGTATGAAAGGTATATTCTTCATTTTTGGTTTGTTTTCATGGTAAGATTAAGCTCCACTTTGTCTTTATTTCTGATTTTATGTAGTTTGCAGGCCAAGAATCAAGATTCCTGCATCTGTGATGATGCCTATTGCAAAAATGGTGGAACGCACTTACAATATTTTTGCCCCTTTTGGTATGAAAGTTCCACAATTAACCCCTTCAAGAATCAGACTTTTGACTTGCAACAGAACTTTTAGTTCAGCAAAAGCAAATGATCGTCTTGGTTATGTCCCCATTGTCCCCCTTCAGGTAATTTACAATTTTTAAAATCATAGATACAATTACTTTTATATTTACACTTTTGGTCCCTGTGTTTGTTCAAAAATATCAGTTTTTTTTTTTTTTTTTTTTTTTGTTGTAAATAGTTTCCTTTTGCAATTTTGGTAACGTTTTTGACACCAAAGTTGCAAGAGGAAACTATTTGGGACCAAAACTGCAATTTTTGAACAAACCCAGGGACCAAAAATGTAATTTAGACAAAACCTCATAAATGGTCCCTGTGGTTTCCCGAAATCTGGAATATAGTCCCTAAGTTTAAAAAACCTCATCGATTGACCCTATGGTTTCAAAACTTTTAACATATAGTCCCTCACCCATATAAAAAGACTTATTTACCCTTTTTGTTATATTTTTGATTGCAGGAGGGTCTGAAACGGACGATTGAATCATACTCAGATCTTAGGGCTGAGCTTTTGCCTAGAAAGGAAGGGCCTTCTAAAGCTGCTGTATTTCTTGGAAATGGAATGGGTATGAAATGGATTATAAAAATAAAGTAGTAAATTACATTTTGGTTTGTAATGTTTTTGGGACCAAAATTGCAAAAGTTAGCTATACCGAGGGACCAAAAATGTAAATTAGTTTTATAAAGTGATATTTATATTGCAGTTGCGGATATACTTCTATGGAGAGAAAAAAAGATGACATACACTGCAATGGTGGGTTTGTTTGTATTCTACTTTAGTTTTGTATTGCCTGGAAGTACTATGATGACTGCAATTTGTAAAGTCCTCATGTGGGGATCCATCTTTCTGTTTCTTCATGGGAAATTGCCACAGCGTTTGTAAGTATTATTATTATTATTTTTCATTTTTAATCAAAATTAATATATCTGGTAAATAAATACACATAGTTTCTACCTACTACTGTTGCAGCATGGGATATTCAATTGAGAAGATTCCAGAATCAAAGTTTCAGTTTTCAGAAGATATGACACGTAGAACCGCATTATCCCTGGTTTCTACATGGAATTATGCTGTAAATAATTTAAAATCTATTTCCAGTGGCAACGATTGGATGCTATTCTTCAAGGTACATATATCATATATCTAACACTAATTTACAGAAATGGTCCCTCTGCTTTCAAATTTTGGTCCTTATTTCAAGGTTTCATATCGATTTTGATCCTTGGAACCTTGAAATAAGGACCAAATTGGAAAAGGTCTCGTTTTTGGACTAAACATGGTTTTATAAATTACTTGTTATCTAATTTTGAGCAAGTTAAATATCTGATGAATTTTGTAAACAGATGGCTTTGTCTCTCTTTATGATAAGCTGGATGGGGTCCATGTCCCTACAAAGCTTTTTCGTTAAAGGTTTGTGAGGGTGTTTTAGATATTTGATTAATAGTCATAACACTGACACTGACACTGACACTGACACTGACACTGACACTGACACTGATCAATTCAAATGATTTGTCATTGTTATTAATATCCCGTGTTTAATTGTTGCAGTAGTTCCATTTGTGTTTGTTGTGTTCTACATTTACGATCGATACGAAGATGAAGTGGACTCGATTGTTCGAACAATTTTCCCGGTGGAGCGCTTGTCAAATCCTGAGTTTTTAAGATTATTGAATCCATTCAAGCCACTTGATAAACACGATTAGTCAACCGTTATGATGGAAAAAAAATGAGGAGCTAATTTGTTTGATGGTTAGAAGCAAGAAGGTGACTATGTTATGTTATGTTATGTTATGTTATGTTAGTTGAGTTGAGTTGAGTTGATTATTTGTTTTTTGTTTTTCGATGAAGAGAGGCTAGATTGGATTTTAAACTATTTTAAGTAATGCATTTTTTGTAATAGATTTAATGATATGGTTGCTTAATTTGATTTTGTTATGAGGGTCAACATTTGATTAATTTGATTTTGTGTGTTGAAGACAAAAATCAAAAGAATCTATAAGAAAGGTTGTCATGGATGTCGATGTCATGTTGATGTTGACGAGTTATGTTTAATATGGTTGAAGTAACCGTGTAAATTATCGGTGTCGTGTGAGTGGTTGTTGATTTATTCTTGTTTAGATTTGTGATCCACCGATATTTTTTTGTTAAACTATTTTTTCTCTTTGTCAAACTTCTGTGAATTGGTTTAAATTGTTCATAAGAAAGTCCCTAAATTAATACCAACACTATATTATATTAGAAAATAATCAAACATCATAATCACTTCGTCCATTGGAAAATAGGATAAAACCGGTGGAAGAAGCAAATACTTTTCTAAAAGCCATCGTTTTGTCATCTATCAAAAGGCTCATTAATTAGAAATATTATCAGTTCTTTTCTAACATAAATATCTAGAAGATGAACATGTATCTAAACAGTTAATTAACATAAAAGGGAGCAAGGAACATGGTAAGCTTGTACCTGACACTTCTTGAAAATAAAATATAATCTTGTTTTTATCGTTTGTCCAAAGTTGAGCTTTGAAATTTGACAAAAAACTTATATAATTATAAAATAATTTTTTTGTATGAAAGTTTAAATTTTACTTATATATCTAATCTAATATATAATTACCATCATATATGATAAGATTCATATGTCAAAATTGCCTTGAACTTTTAAAAATCTTGTCATTGGGAGAACTCCATACGAACCAAGGTCCAAGAATGAACACGAATTACTGTTTTGAAAATCAACCAAAGACCACTTGAAACACAAGGCTTTAGAACTTTGGTTTCCATGTCACAACAACGTAGTAACTTCTAAAATCAACCAAAAATCATGTCTCGTCTTTTTTGAACTTATTACCCAAGGCATTATGATAGAACCGCAAAAACTGCATTTTATTTTCTTCAACCTTAGATTAAATGATGATTGAAAAATGAAACACGAAGCTCCCGTGTTGCATACATGAAACAATTGTTGCCATGAGGCTGCAATTTCTGAACATTTACAACAAAATAGTAACTTCTTGAAACCAACCAAAATCTCGTCCATGAATTAGTTCCCTCCATTTTTCCAATCAAACCCGGGAACGGACTGTAATTGAATTCTAATTCTAATTCCAATAAAATCCCGTGAAATGTGGTGAACCAAATGCCCCTAAGGCTAAAGGGTGTGGTGATGTTTTTGACAATGGTAAAAACATGCCACATAGACGCCACATAAGCATTTGCATTTCTTACCAATCTTTACCTATGATATGAATGTGGTGATATTTTTGCCTATAAAATTGTTTCCAAACCATAACAATTTACTACCACTTTTTAGTATTTACTTAATGCATAAAAGTACAAGTCATAATGCAGCCCAAACTTAAATTGAAAAATGTTTCATCGTAAAACTTTTGCAATTGAGCGCCATGGCGCCAAGGCTTGTACCTGCGCCAAACTTTACCAAAACGCCGCCTTAACACATATATGTGTATAAAAATGAATAATAGTTGAAAATACATATAAAAATATTAATTATATACAAAATTGCCGTTTTATGTTACGCCTTACAAACGCCTTACAAACGATGTGACTCACCAAAGCTCAAAAAAGCTTGAGGTTTGACATTGCCGCCAAGTCATACCTTACGTTATTTAAAACCTTGGCGACAACATACCTATGAAAACCACCGCAGGTAAAACAAATGGCTGGGGGGCGGTGTTTACCGCGGTAATGGTTGCCACATACCGTAAACACTTTACGACACCCCATAGCCTAATAGTTAGGAAAGTTTCCTAACTAATCGTGAAACTTCATGAGCAAGTAATTAACAACTCTATTGTAGATGGAATTTCCGGTCCTCCCATAAATTAATAAAATGTGGCAAAATAGAAAAAGGTTGCATAAAGCATAGTCAAATGCAACTTTTTCAGAAAATGTTAGCATTATGGCAACAACACATTGCCATACAAAAAAAAAAAGATGTAACTAACCGGAAAACTTGGCTAATTGGCTTCGCCCAAAACTGAATTAACATGAATTATAATATATACATAAATTGATATTCAATTAAGCATAATCAATCATACATTCATAATAGATTATTATTATTATTTGATCATACATATTATAAACTTGACAACTCAAGAAAAAGAAAACTAGTTTCTTAATTATAACAAAAAGTCAAAAGTTGGGAATGTCCATACTTGCAATAAATGCGGATTTGCTTATATGATTTTATTGAATCTAAAAAAAGCAAATGTAGATTTATAATTAAGAAAATAACATAATTAAAGAAATGGTCAACTTGAAGAAAATTATCGCAGTATAATGCGAACCAAGATTTCCTTCCAAACAAAATTCCACACCTAGTAAAAGTACATCTTAAAGATTAAATATGGAGGCGGCTAAACTTCATTAAACTTTAAACAAGTTACTAATACTTATTTGCGCATGAAAAATAAATTGTAAAGCTTACTCGTACCATTAACCTAAAGTTGCTTCGTATTATTTTAGACCGATCGGTATGGGTACTCGTTACCACAGTGCCCCATCATCATTGAGCCCTCAACGCCGTTGTGGGATGATGTTTGTCCTTGAAAACGCAGTGGTGAGGCGAAAAGCAGAGAGAAAGAAGAAAGAAACAGACGTTGAGGGGCATTGGAGTGGCAACGGGAAGAAACATGCGTTGAAAGGGTTGGGGGGGGGGGGGTTCATCTCTTCTTAACATCGTTAAGGGAGGCTACGTAGGTCTCTCAACACAGTTGAGAGACCCATACCGATCACTCTTAAGGATTAGTTTTCGGGATAACGACTTAAAAGAGTAATATACTTTTTGATTTGTACACATTTAGTCAATGAGTTTTTTTATCCATATTTGCCCCTTCAACTTGTTTTACTGTACACATTCAGTCCTTATGACAGACTATTCCAGGTAAACCGTAAAAAATGACTTAATAGGGTAATATATTTATCACTTTGTATACATTTAGAGCTTAATATTTTTTTTGCACATTTAGTCATTCATTTATTATTGTTGCAAAATAAGTTATTGTTGTTTTTTTGTATACATTCAGTACTTATGACCAGTTTCTTTAGTTTTTTCTCACAACATCCTACGTGAGACAAACATTAATGAGGAGTTCGGGTCAGTTGATGTTTATGGCCTCTATGACCTCAACCACTTGGTTGCCTAGGTCTTGTCTTTCACTTAGGTCTTGTGTTAGAACGTCATAACTTCTTCATAAGATCTCAGATTCTAACGATCTTTATATCCACACATTCATATTTGTTGTGTTATGAACGTCGTAACTTCTTCATACAATCTCGGGTTTTAACGATCTTTATATCCACGCGTTCTTATTTGAGTCTACTATAACTTTCATTTAGATTAATCCCGTTAAAAATAATATATTTTTACTTAAGATCTATATATACATGCTTTCTTTATGAATATATGCATGAACGTTTTCTTTATAAAATCGTAAGTAAAAATATATTACTTTTTCTAACGGGAGTAATCTAAGATGTTTGGCTGCTTAGGTTTTGTGTTCTGAACGTCGTAACTTCTTAATACGATATCATATTTTAACAATCTTATACTCACACGTTTTTATTTAAGTCTACTACAACTATCATTTAGATTACTCGCGTTAAAAAGTAATATATTCTTACTTACGATCTTTATATAAATGCGTTCTTTATGAATGTATGTATGAACGTTTTTCTATAAAATCTTAAGTAAAAATGTATTACTTTTTAATGGGAGTAATCTAAACGAAAATTATAGTAGACTCAAATACGAACACATGAATATAAAGATCGTTAAAATTTGAGACCATATGAAGAAGTTACGACATTCAGAACACAAGACCTAAGCACCAAACAATCAAGGTCGTCGTGACCATAAGCATGAACAACCCCGAACACCTCATTAATGATTGTCCTATGTAGGATGTCGTGAGAAAAACTCAAAGAAAGCGTTCACAAGTACTGAATGTGTAGAAAAACAACAAAGACTTATTTTACAAAAAACAAATATTAAGGATTAAATGTGCAAAAAAATTATTAATGACTAAATGTGTACAAAGTGAGAAGTATATTACCCTATCAAGTCATTTTTCCGGCTTACCTGGAGTAGCCGCTCATAAGGACTGAATGTGTATACTTAAACAAGTGGAAGGGGAAAATGTAGACGAAAAAAAAACTTAATGATCAAATATATACAAATCGAAAAGTATATTGCCCTTTTAAGTCATTATCCCTTCTTTTTAATATTGATTTAGACTAAATTTAAGAATTGGTCTCTGTACTTTTTAAAAAGGGTTAGAAGTAAGTGGTTTCAAAATCTAGCATTGTAGTTTAAAAAAAATGGCATGGGTAGTCATTTTTCCTAACTCAGTTCAGAACAAGTAGTAAATATTTATAAAAAAATCAAAATATCCTTGACGATTATTTTATTCTTTTTCTTTAAAAGAGATAAATGAGCCACCATTCACCTCTCTTTATCTATCCATCTATCCCTTCCCTTCCTCCTCTCATATCTCAACATGTGTATCCATGTGCACTGTGGACTTGCCGTACAAGGCAATCAGGGCAACTCACACCGATGTGCCCTCTTGCCCTATATCTATTTAATAAAAAAGACTCAGATTCAACTACTAGGTCTCTTTTTATTTCTTTTTATTTGATCAAAAAGACACTTCCAAAGGTACTAGGGTCTAGGGAGTGCATGCAATTAAACCCCATGCTGATCTCTTGGTTACTACACATACATGGAAGAAAAAACATGAAACATTAAATCGCAACGCCATGACGTAACCATAAATAATATGTGGTTTCCTTATGGATACCACCACGACCACCTCCCGTAGACCATTATTTCTTATCTCACGGTAAACACCTTACTCCAAGGCTATCATGATCAAAGCAATCCATATCCATGTTTCTAATTAGATTATTGCATCAACTTCTACATAAACATAA